AAAGATCAATTGTGTGAAATAAGTTTCAGGTGGTGCTTGTTCCCCTTTTATTTTCCAACGTTTCCCCTCATGAGCCTCACCATTTTTTCAGTGCATTATTTCTATTCCCTTTTCGTCTTCTCTGAGTTGGTCAGACAAGGGTCTCCACAGTGATCATCCCATTCATTTTGGTTCTCTCTCTCTCTCACCAACTTCCCATTTAAACCCTCTCTTTCTCTCTCTTCACCCCAGATTGAGACTGTTCATTTTTGGACTTTGTACACGTTTCACGTCAATCCCCCATCACCCATATTTGTAGAAACACCCAGTTTCCATTCTCTCATCTTTTTCTCATTTGGTATGCACAACACTTGAATCCCCTATAATTAATTGAGTGTAGATCGCCAGAATCCCTCGAGATTTAGTGGAATCCTAGTGAATTAATTCCAACTCATAGTTTCAGATATGCTCATAAATCACAATGTTATGATGAAATCTAAGACACGCACCTAGGTTGCTTTTTGAGTTTATTGTAGGTATGTAATAAAACATGCACTAAGTAATGATGGTCGTGGTTTTGGCAAGTATAGAAGAATCTCGAAGACATCGGACACGTGGAGGCGTTACACAACCCCCAAAATCTGAAACTCAAACGCGCTTTTAATTCGTATCCAAGCCACCAACCATTTCATAGTACACGTATAAATGGAAAGCAAAGTAACCCCATTCACAACACTAGAGAGACATAGATATGGAACAAGAAGGAGAAAGGAGAGAGGAGAATAGACAACAAGTCCAACGTGCAGCACAACAACAACAACAACCACCGCAGCAGCAGCAGAAATGTCCACGCTGTGATTCCATGAACACCAAGTTCTGCTACTTCAACAACTACAGCCTCTCACAACCTCGTCACTTCTGCAAAACATGTAAAAGGTATTGGACACACGGTGGAACCTTCAGGAACATACCCGTAGGTGGTGGTTCCCGCAAGGGGAAACGTGCCAGAACTTCTGCGTTTTCCAACGCACTCTCCCTCACGCAAGCACAGCCAAATTTGCTGAGGCCTTCACCTTCTCCACCCACCATGCTTCATTCAGCTAGCTCCTTTTACCAACTTGCTGGTGCTGGTGTTGGTGTTGGTGTTGGCGTTGGTGGAAGTGGGTTTTTGTCTTCTCTGGCAACGCTTCACTCTCTCAACTCTTCACGTCCTTTCAATCATCACTATCTCAAAGTTGGGGTTGCTGGGGATGTTGCCGGTTCTTCTTCTAACTCTTCTCTTCTCTCTGGCTTCAACGCTGCTTCCAATTCCCTTCCACCGCGGTTCCACCACATGGGTAGGGTGGAATCTCTCTATCCTACACAACAACGTTTGGTTATTCCATCGAACGTGGGGGCTAGTGCCACTGGCTCTCACACTACTCAACTTCCACAAAGCTTGATCGTGAGTAATAATAATGCTACCAATGCCTCTTTGTGGAGCACTACTACTATCACCGCCAACGGTAATAACTCTGATCAGAACAATGTCAAAGCTGGTGGTTCTTCTTTGATCCCAAATCATTGGCTTCATCTCCCTGGGTATGCTCCTCCTCAATAATTCTATATCCTTGGAGTTGGAATTTAGAGGGTAATTTGTTTCGTCTTTCTTTGTTTTTCCTTCTAGTATATCATAATAAGGTTGCGGGATATGTATTTGATTCATTATCTGGTTGGTTGTGAAAACATTGGACGGAAGAGGATTTTATTGTTATGGGGTGAAGTTTCCTTTGTCTTGTTCAACGGAAGTGGAACTGCTAATTAAGGTGGCTTATATGGTGAAGATAAACGAGGTGAAAATCTTCGTCTAAAACTTGATGGAAGACCTGGTTCCCCATGAATTGTGCATGTGGGGGTTACTAAATCCCTTCTCAATTTCTTTTTAGCTCCAGAATCTAAATGCTTGGTCCCTTATTTTTTTATTTATTTTGCAACATAATTGTGTGCTGCTTAATGTTGTGATTACGCTTCCAAGTGTACTTTCACAACTGAATGTCAATTTTTTCCCTTGAGTTATATTATTTGAATAATATTCTTTTATTTCTATTCATTAATGAGATCATTTCTGCTTTGCATATATTGGTCACAAGAATGTTAACTCAAATGATTATGTAGTTATACTTCTTAGGTAGGAACTGAGATTTGATTTTTAGTTTGAGTGTAAAATTACCACAAAAATATCACTTTATTCTCATTAGGACTGAGGAGTTATATATACCTCATATTTAAAAAAAAAAAAATCACTAACATTATCCATTCAAAATATTTTTAAAAGTTATTTTTTTTATAAGAATTGTTTTTTTTAGAATTTTCTTACTAAAAGTGTTTTTAGTTATAAAATTTTGAATTTTTTTCCCAATTTATCCTTCACATCTTTATTTGTAAATTGAACTTTAATATTATTTTTAAAAATTATTAAAGTTAAAGGAAACTTTATATAATAATATAAATTCTTTTATCATAAATTTTAAATATAATTCATATGTTAAAAAAACTTGAATAGTTTTTTATCTTTGTTTGTACTTAGAGTTAGAGATATGGATTCAAGCCAATACTTAGAATTACAGTTGTCAATTTGAGCTAGTTTGACCCATTCAAGCTGAATTGTGATTAAGTCGAATTTGGACAAACCAATTTAATGTCACGATGAAATTTTCATAACCCAGCCCAATTCTTAGCGATTCATATGTCAAACAACTTTGTCCATGGGACAATAATATATTTTTAAAAGTTATTGAAATAAATTTTTATATAACAAGTTAATAAAATATTTTTAATCATTCTAGACTAAAATAAAAAATATATAAACTGTTATTTGTACTATAAAATAGCAAACTATAATAATAATAGTAAAAATAAAATAAAGTATATCAATATAACAATAAACAAGTGATAGAAATTAAAAAAAAAACTAATTATGAACAAAAATTATGGACATTAACCAATAACCATATATGTGTATGAAATTTATCATCTATTATTTTATCGATTATAAGCATATTAAATAATAAAATAATAAATCTGATCCACAACTTATCTTAACTCATCATAGGCCAATTTGTTTTGGGCTAATAAAATTTAGGGTCATGTTGGGCCGAATTAAGGCTTTTTGATATATGCACTTCTTATATTTAACAATATGTCCTCCTTTTTATTTTATTATTTATCTATAAATACCCTTATATTTCATTTTTAGTTGAGAGTTTCTTCTTTATAGAAACTATTTCAAACTCTCTTTCCTCTAGCACTCACCTCATTTCACTTCATTTCTCCCCGCCCTCGCCTTTGATACCCGCTGGAGGTAAAATTTAGGTACCCATTCTTGTCTTTGGTGGGGATCGGGTTTCCCCACCTCGCCCCCGCTCTCGCTCCCGCTCCTACTTTTTTGTTTCTTTTTTTCTTTTAAATACTAAACCGGTCGCTAAATAT